GCATCTTGTTTACTTAGATCAGATTATGTTTGGCTGGTGAATCCAGTTCTGATTTCCCCTGCAATAACGTGGTTGAAGGGTTACACCCTGGAAAAGAGTGGAAATACTCTGGATTTGTAGCACATTTCTATGATCCAGGCTAAAACTTGGCTTTAGCCTTTCTTTTAAAACACTGATGATAGAAGGCCAGCATTTAGAGGTTTCTGCCTATGCTAAACTAACTGCTGCTGTGAAACAATTAATTCACTAAATTAAGGATCGAGGAAGACTTTAGTGACCCCTCTGTGTGCAGCTGATCAATGATGCAAATTGGAACCCTCAAACTGGCAGATGCTTGAAGCTTGCTGTAAACCCGGGTTAGTTGTACCGAGGTTTCTTTCTCGCTTCTCCTTCACCCATACTGGACGGGCCCCACGACAGGGGACAGGCTGGCTCTGGGTGTTGAATGGTGAGAATTCCCGAAAGCAGTGCCAGCCTGTGGGTGGGTTTCTGAACAGGACACACTGAGTGCTGGGGGATGCCAGGGCAGGAGGTAGGCACCCACCATCTGCCTCTTTTCCTCTGTTGCCTACGGAGGAGGGGCTCAGACGTTTTGTTTGGCTCCTGGATCCTTGCAGAGAAGTCATTGCTTTCCTGGCTGCTGAAAGGGTTGTTCTTCTTCACATGAAGCCGGACTACAGCCAGGCTGCCCCAGCATGGGGCTCGGTTCCACAAAGTCTCTGAGCACATGCTGACCTGTGAACTCACACTTAATTCCACCGATAAGGCCTTTTAAGACCAAACCCAGGGCATCAGTGCAGTGCTCCTGACATCACCACTGTGCCATGCAGCCTTCAACCTCTTTCCTCTACAGTTCTGTCCAGATCTGCCCTTTCCTTCCCAATCCCACCATTGGGCTGTTGATCCTCCAGCTCATGACTGCTTCAGGGCAGAGGACTCAGATCCATACTAAGCGGAGGACAACCATGCCTGGTGGTTTTGCAGCATCAGGGACAGGTAGAAAAGAAGAGCAGAGACCTGTCAAGTCCCTGCTGATGTAACTCTACCCATCAGTAGACCTGCTAAGTGCCATACATGGTGTGTGACATCATTACCTCTTCCACTGCTGTGGTGGAGCCCAGCTTGGGTGACCGCAGCACAGTGCCACCCTCTGAGTGCAGACCACTCTCCCAGCGCCCTTCACCACCCCAGCCCCACCACTGCAAAGGGAAGCCCAAAGCCACTCTACTACAGAAGAAAGATGAAAGGCATCTCCCAGAGCCAATTCAGCATCTCTCATCTCTCCGCAAGCTCTGAGCTCTGGGTCTTTGAAATGAACCCAGGGGCTTGGCAGTTTGCTTTCTGTGGTAACATAAATCTCCTCAAAATCAACATCATGGCAAAGTTGTGATGAGGGAGGATTTTTGTCATAAGACTTGAACGAGGCATCTAAGGAATGACTCATGATGATGAGGGCAGAAGAAATGCAAAAAGCCCAGTTTTTCTTTCCAATAAAAACTGAAGCAGATACACGCTTGTTCCGAATTAGCACATGTGATTTATTAAAAAGAGGCTGTACGCCCCTGAGTACTATGAGCTTCTGCATGCTGCTGCCTTGAAACAGGACTCGCAGTCACCGCAATGCTCAGCAGAAATGCAGGTTGATCAGCTCCAGTGCCATTTGGGGTAAGCCACCGTCTCCTGAGGCCTCCCCTGAGCATTGCAAATTGCTCATCCAGGGGGACAGGCGGCGGTGACCGAGCTGCCAGCAGCATGTAGAGACCCCACCGTCCTGCAAAACCCCGCAAGCCCTGACTCTGTGCCTGGAAATGCACATGTGGCCTTGAAATGTTTGAAGTGGGAGAAAGTGCTGTATAGATGGTGGGATACACAGTTTGGATCACGAGTTACAGTTGTTACATCGCAATTCAAAACAACTTAAAAAAGTTAACAAAGAAATCCAGTAGCACTCACAGAATTTATGCTTGAGCTTTAAAGAAAACTGCGACAACTGAGGTGCAATTAAATAATGCCCTTCAGACTTGGACATTTCAGATGACTGCATATTTGAAACCACTGTTTCAAGTGAAATTACTGTTTCCATATGTCTGAAATTAGGTGCTACCAGAAGTGGGAGTAAAACACAACATAACTCCAAACAGAACACAAAACTCTGATGTTTCTTTAGGTGAGATACATGTTGCTATTGGCAGTTAGAAGTAATTGCTGGAATGTAGCACGCTGTAATAAATTAAATGTGATATTTGCTAAGCATGCAGGCTTGCCATCTGGTCACCAGAAAGCCGCTGTTATTACTTTGCAGGTAAAAAGTGGTGTTTAAGTGCAGGGAATTGAAGTGTGCCTTACAAATAACATCTTATAAGCTCCAGCCCCTTGGACTCAACGTTTGTTTAAAACCTGGAATAATTAAATGACCTTGACTTTTATAGCTTCTTTGCAATAACACGAACTAAAGTGATGCCAAAAGAAGAGATCCCACAGGAGCAAGCTTGGTAAATAGCCTGTTTTTTGCAGGATGCTACCACAGATGCATCAAACACCACCAAATTCCTTTCCTTCTTGAGACAGGTATAGGTTTCTACACACAAGACCTCTATCCTACTGTCCTCACGCATTGCAACAACCTCTAGAGGAGCCGGCTCAAGGTTGGGATTTGCACAGGTTCTTACCAGGCACAGCCCCCATCCTGGTTTGTAGGTACATCAATGGGGTGACCACAGTGAAAACCACACTGGGGTGCTAACTACATAGGACCCCGCACAAACGAGGCAAATACTGCCCCAAATGATACCCTGGGTTTCTCACCCCTGAGAACAACCCCTGGGAAAGCTGAAAAAGGAGCGTGCAAGTCAGAGAACCACAGGCATGTCCTGCTGGCTGGCCCAAGAGCTATAGATTTCAGCCCCTGCCCTGTATCACAGGCTGGCATAGCCTTATGATTCAGGTGGTAGGACACAGAGGCTGGCAGAAGTGTTGAGGACCTGGAGAATTCCCAGCAGGTTACATCCATCATTTCTTTTGTAGGTCGCACTTTGTAGTTAGCCCTGATTCAGACCCACAGGGTATTTTGGGTTGGAAGGGCCCTTTAAAGATCATCTAATCCAACTCCCCTGCCACGGGCAGGGACATCTTCCACTAGATCAGGTTGCTCAAAGCCCTGTGCAACCTGACCTTGAACACTTCCACGGACAGGACATCCATAGGTTCTCTGGGCAACCTGTTCCAGTGTCTCACCACCCACATTGTAAAAAATGTCTTCCTTACGCCCAGTCTAAATCAACTTCAGTTTAAAACCATTGCCCCTTGTCCTGTCAGAACAGGCCCTGGTGAAAAGTCTTTCTCCATCTTTCTTATAATCCCCTTTATATATTTCACTGTGAAAGGAAGTTCGGGAAGCTTTTTGGGGCCATGAGCAAAGGGAGGCAGGAGAACAGAGGAAAACAGCAGTTTTTCTTGCCAGCTATCATCCTGGGTCAGTCTGGCAAGTCTAGAGATCCTTGTTTCTGAGCTGACAAGAGCACAGAACAGCTTCTCCTACAGCAGGACATCAGCTGCCTCCCGAGATGCAGCTAAAAGATGCACTTCAGTGAACAAACAGCTCCCAGTATTTCTGCAGAGAGTGGGTTCCTAGCCAGAGCATGGCTAGAGGTGACCCCGAATGATTGCAAAGGGGTCTGAAAAGGTTGTTTTTCTCAGACATGAATGCTGGTCTCCAAGAATCAGGCTTTCACCTCAAAACAAGCTATCAGCAGAATCTAAAATGATATAATCTGATTCACTACTCAAATTTGCTCCTTTCTCTGTGTTAGGTCAGAAGGCAATTTTAAGTTTGATTAAACTTTCAGACAAGCTCATTAAATGAGGCCACTAGAGGGAGCAGCCTTTAAAGTCCAGAGCTGGTCACTGGGGATGCGTCCCCACGAGTGGGGACCCTGGAGGGCAGCCCTATGGCTGTGGCTCCCAGGGGATGCTCTCCCTCACCACGGGACAGGCTTAGGCACTAAAGGGAAGAGTATTATTGGTAGCACCCCGAAATGCACGATTTATTATCTGCTGTTTCTGTTCTGATTTTTTCACGTGTATTTTTCCTCTTAGCAAATGTGACATTTGTCTTCATTTTTTCAAACCTCTTTTCACATGAGAATAAGTGTGCACAGGAAAACAAAAAAAAAGATGAGGTATAAGTTTCTTAATTACCTGGCTAATGTGGTTTATGGGAACCACACTTCAGTATGGTCAGTAGCTATTTTGACTGGTTACATGCTTACCTCTCAGTGAAGGTGGTCACTATTAAAAGTGAATCCGGTGATCATTAATTTTAGCGTAATTGCCCTTTCATAGAATCATAGAATGGTTTGGGTTGGAAGGGACCTTGAAGATCATCTAGTTCCAACCCCCCTGCCATGGGCAGGGACACCTCCCACTAGACCAGGTTGCTCAACGTCCCATCCAGCCTGGCCTTAAGCACCCCCAGGGATGGGGCATCCACAGCTTCCCTGAGGAATTTGTTCCAGTGCCTCACCACCCTCACAGTAAAAAATTTCTTCCTCCTATCTATTCTAAATCTCCCCTCTTTCAGTTTGAAGCCATTACCCCTCGTCCTATCACTACATGCCCTTGTAAAAAGCTGGACTGATTTGCATCACCCCAAAACCACATGACTGCAAGATCCAGAGAAGACCATCAACAGCGACATTCCCCTCGGCTTTCCTGAGGAATTGCCAGCATCCACCTCATTTGCAGTTGTGGTGAGCAGTTTCACTGTGTGAGGGGAGGGGTTTTTAGGAAAAAGAGGGGGATTACAAGCTCCTCAGCAAAGCAAGGGGCAGGGCAGTGCCTACATCACCTCCAAATGAATTATGTTAATTCACTTTGTGAAATAAATTCAATGACAAGGGATGGTAGTGCAGTAAAGAAGCATAAACACCAGAGCAGGGATTGCAGAGCGAAAGGCAGCAGCTGGAGTGAGGGCTTTCTCTTCCAGACCCCGGCGGACCTACCTCTCCTCCGGTGCAGGGGAAGGGACTTGAATATCTGGAAGTGCAAATGGCTCCTCTCTGCCTCACATCATCCTCCAGCCCAAAGGTGGCTGAGCAGTTAACAGCAAAGTATTTGTAAGGCTTCCACGTCTCGCCGAAGTCCTGGGAGCGCTCCAGCACCATGGCGGCCGGCCGGGGCGACTTGAAGACCAAGATCAAGTGGGTGAAGTAGAAGGCGGTTTCCAGGTCCAGCCGGATGGTCTCGCGGGGGGCGTCCTGGGCTGCCTGCCACCAGGTGCGGGGCAGTCGGAAAGGCGAGTCGGCCATAGCGGCGGGGGGGTGGGCCAGCCCGGCGTGGGCCCCGCTGCACCTCCGGGGGTTGCAGGCCTTTTCACAGGGGCTGCCCGCTCCCGCCGCGCTGCCCAGACCTGCAAGGCAGAGAGCAAGGGGGAGGCTGAAGCCGGCTCCCGAGGTGGGGAGGCACATTTTTTGGGGACGCTGCCCCCGCCGAGGCCCCCAGAAGCAGCCAAGGGAGACGGCACCACTGATGCTCAGCTCTACCGCTGCGTGGAGCTCAGAGTGTTTGTAAGAGCAAAACAAACCAAAAAAACCCTCAGGGCTTCCCTGGATTGGGAAAATCCCTACCGAGAGCTGGAGAGCAGAGCAGGTGGCATGGGAGAAGAGATGTCTCCACCTCACCCTCCTGCCCCGAGTGACACAGAGCAGGGCTGATGGTCCGGGGACAATGGCCGTGGCCATGCCACCCCTGCCCCAAGACCTCCAAAGGGATCCAAGTAGCTCTGGGGAAGGGGAAAAAAGCAAAGAAAGACAGGCTGCTGATGACACCGGAATAGCCAAGGCAGCATGCTGGTGGGAGGCGAGGAAACAGCCATGGGGGACACCGTTGCTGCGCCCCGGCCTACCGTGCGGCAGATTGGGTGCCAGGAGTGCAAGAGCTGGTAGGAATATCTCCTGCTACCAATGACCTCAAATCTTCACCCCCTTTCCCACCCCAAAACTGCTGCCACCAAGGTCAGGGTTGAATCAAAACACCGTTTATGTTTGGGAAGGCTGTCACTGATGTGTGTAAAGAGGGGAAAAAAAAATAAAATCCTTAGTTGAAATGATGCTGGCAAGCTGCCTCGCAGCTGAGGCTCTGTGGTTTTTGTTCAAGTTTCTCTGGAAGCCTTGTCAATTTAAAAATCCACAGTTAAAACGTCAAAGAAAAATAAAATCACCATGGGGTTTGGTGTGAAAACATCTGCAATCTAACCCTCCTGGTGCAGGAATGTTTGATTAGGGGCTCTCCACTTTATTAATAAATGCAACAGTAGGTCAAGGCTGTATTTGATGAACCACAACCGTTTAACATAAAAAAAAAAAACCACAACAAAAACTCTGACGACTTGATGCGGGCAAGCCAAACCATCTGAGGTGCATAATGTCGTCTTTATCACTGGGCCAGTCATACATAGTCAGCTTTGTGCACCAATTATTATGGCTTCTTATTGGCATTTTTGTTATGCCCAAGGGTTGTTTCAATTTAGCATCCAATAAATCCTTTATTTGGGGTTTAATCAACTTTTGTCCAGAGTGTCATAGTTGCAATTAAGCTATATTACACACTAGCAGAGGCTAAGCCTTCAGAGCCTGACAGCATTCCCTACTCCTGCTCCTCAAGAAACACACTGGAAAGAAAACATTTCTACCATCAAAGGTCTATACAGGTTTTCTATACCAATTACTCAGAACAGATGTGGACCACTGCTAGTTAATGCACTCATTACAAAGCACTTCTGAACCCTGTCTCTAGATTTCACTGGGTAAAGAGTCTTGGGAAATTTTTAGTGAAGAAGAAATGCTCAGTCAAGTTAGCTTCCTATAGGGACATGGTAAAGCTGTGTCTGAGATGGTATATATTAACTGTGCAGAATACGTTTACTCTAGAAAAGTAAACAAATGTAACTGTAAAATTAACGTAATATCACTTACATCTCCTGAACATCCTTTTCAAAGCGTTGTATAAACATTAACTAACCAACACAGCTCTCCTGAGGGGTAGGTAAGCGCGTGCTATTATCATACTATCAGTTAAGCTTGCCACAAGTTGGCCTAATTTATGTCTTTGGCTGCTTTCCTGGATTCTTTGGCTACACGTAACACAGCGCAGTTAGTCACTAAACGAACAGATGAACCTTTACTGCGGTTCCCTCAGTTGTGGGACTGCAAGGCGGATTTGAGAAGAGGTAAACAGAGCAGGGCTCAGTCAGCACCCTGAGACAGGTCGAGACTATTGTTTGTGTTCATCAACTCCTTTTGTTTTTTGCGCACCACCGATTACCGCCCCCGGGGAGGCAGTGGAGGAGGACCTGGTCAGTGGGAGGTTTCCCAGTGACTGCGATGGTGGTAGGGCTCGGAGCAGCCCCCCGGGGTGGGAGGCAAGGCTCTGCCAGAGCCCGGCCAGGAGGAGTTGGCTACCGAATTCCCATGTGAGACCCTGGGAGCTGAGAGTATTTGATTGGTCCCAGCTCCTGGTATGCTCCAGCTCCGGTCACGCACGGTCACTGACTGCAGTTGTCTTCAGGCCAGGCACGGAGGGTCCCTTCCTCACCTGGGGCCAAATTTGAGGCCAGGGACCTTGGTTTGGGCAGCAGTTGAGAAACGCTGCTGGCACGCAGACCCCACTTCCCGTCTCAGGGGCTGGAAGGGGGGAGAGGAAACCCCCTTTGAAAGGGTGTTTGTTTTCACTTGAATTGGAAAGAGTTGCATGACGGATGCAGAGCACCGCATGTTATGAAAAGTGACAGCTTTCTAGCGTAATGCTGGCTGCCACAGGAATTCAGGAAAAGGACAAATGAGAGCATAAAGATTTCCACGCCGTCAGCCCCAAGCTCACGACTGCCCTGCCACAGCCCTGGAAAAGGTGTTTTTCCTTACTTGCACGTAATGAATCTGCCCGAATAAACACTCCCATCCTATATACTGTACATGCCACCGGACTGGGATCTTCAGCAATGAGTAAGAGCATGTAGCTAATACCATGACTCACCTGTAAAACATCCATGGAAAATCATATGCTTCCTGCTTAAGCATTTTAGCAACACTTGCCTTGTGATGTTTCATTTATATCTTGTGCCTGATTAAATGTTTGTTTCCCGTGTGGGTTTTTTCTTCTTTATAAAGAAGAAAATTGGCACTCGGCTTGCGACCGGCCGGGGAAGCGTTATGCAAACTGTTTATGCCCGGTTGTCTCTGCTGCGGCGCGGCAGGACCCCGCTGCGGGCAGATCTCAGGGTAAAGTGGTTTATGCTGCGGGAAAGGGGCTTTGAAACCCCTGCCCTGCC